TCCAAACTTGTTCTTAGCGTGTGCTGCAGCTTTGGGAGCGATGCTGCGAGCTGGGGTGGTAGTGGCGCGAGACCTGGTTTGGCGGATGGCATGGCCACCGAGTATCAGAGGCTTGTTCTTGAGCTTTGGCTTCTTGGCAGGCGGGGGAGTACCGTGCTCTGAGTCATCGTCGTCGCCCGATGCTTCGATGGTTTCTCGTGCATCTTCGAAATCGTCGTCGTCGTCTTCAACTTCGTTTCCAGGGTCGACGTTGTCTTCGTGGACATAATCGTCGGCTTCAGACTCGTCCAAGATGCTCTGCTTAGTGGATTGTCTGAGAGGCCTCGGGGGTGTGGGCACGTCCTTTTCAGGGCTAGGTTCTTTGGTCTCAATCTGAGCCTCCGTGAATAGGACACACTCCTCCTCGTCCTTAGACTTGGTCTTCGCCTCCTTCTTCGGCGAAGCATTGCGTTTCCTTGTGGTACGAGTAGCGGGGTTTTTCTTCGTCTGCCCTGAAGTTGCTGGACCGGTTTTCGCCCTCGCGGCTTTCGCTGGAGTAGCCTTAGGCTTTGATGCAGGACGTTTGGGTGTCTTGGTAGTGGTATCAGGAACGCCCAAGTCTCCAAAGAGATCAACAGAGTCAGCGTCACTGACTGGAACAGTTGGCGAGTCTGCAGAAGCTGGCATGCTTGACATGAGTTCGCTTAAAGCCTCGGGCTTATGCGGTGGAAACAGCTTACGCGATATGGGCTTTGCCTTTGATGGGTGCTGTCTATACGACGTCGAAGTAAGGTCCCGAAGTTCACGTTTTGAGACTGACGGTCTCGACATTGGTGTACCTAAAACGATCTCGGGGGCAGGTGTTTGCTTGCTAGGTGTGACCGGCTTCTCAACGTCGCTGTAGTGCTCTTCCATGTCGGCACTGTCGCCTCCCTGGTCAGATTGAGCACTGATGATGGCATCATCAGATTCAACTACTATGGGTGCTTTTGCAGATGATCCAGTATGTTTCAATGCACCTCCATGCTTGGTTGATACAGCCGGTTCGTCGTTGACAACATCCACATGAGTAGCCTCTTTCTTCGACTTGGCCGCAGCACGTCTGCCCTTAGCTGGCGGTGGCGTAGATTCGTCTTCGTGGTCTTTGGGAGCTTTGCTAGGCTTCCTGTTTGCAGCTTTGATAGCACGTGCCTTTGCAAGGGAAGCGACATTAGCCTTCCGCTTTTTCTTGACTGGACCGTCTGAATCACTTTCGGAAACGCTCGCTGTGTTCTTGGACGCTTTCGATCGCTTATGCGGGTGAACGGGCTGAGTTTTTGGTTCAGGTACTGCCGTTGTAGAACCAAGGTCTTCGGTAGTATCCAGAGTGTGCGCAACCGATACATCTTCCATCTGATCTTCTTCGGGAATCGCTACCACACTGGTACTGTCATCAACGTCGGGTACAGTGGTGTTATCTGCAACCGTAGTATCCGGCTCTACGTCAGATGGGGCTGGAGGCTTGGACAGCCTATGAGCCAGTTTCGCCGCACTTGCGTTCTCTTCATCCGCGGGCACTTCAGTAGGTGAGATCCGGGATTCCTCATGATGTACTTCGTCTTCAGATGGGAATGGCAGGGGCGGTAAGGTCACGTTGCTTTCCAACTGCAGGTACGACGTCGGACCCGCAAATAATGGACTTGCTTGTACCGATGCCTCTCCAGCTGCGATCTCCGGAGCGTTGTTAATCGATGGATCGCTATGATCACGATTCTTTGAGGACAAAGGTTCGGAGAGAACGCTAGGCAGTGAGTCGGCGGCCGCATCCCGCAACTGCGCTTGCCATGGCCCTTCGACATCCTCTTGGACACGTGAGAGTGCCTCAGGCGATTTTGGGCTTAACGAGTCACCCTCAGTGATCATGGAAGAATCTGGTAGAACGGAAGTTGTAAGTTCAGACCTGACTTCCGGCGCCTCATCGGCTTTCAAGTCTGCCGGAGAGTCTCGCACTTCAGGAAGCGCTTCTGACGGCAATCGCAGAGGTTCGGTAGCAGGTTCAATTTGCATCGCGGAGCCGTCATCGAGCTGCTCTTTTTCATCCAAACGATCTTGCTGCGTCTGGATTCGGTTTAATGCTTCTAAAGCACTTTGAATAGCTTCTTCATCGTATTCACTACCAGGATGGCGCGGCGTCTGTTGTACCTCATCTAAGAGTGCATCCAATTTTGGCTGCATTGACACGCCCGTCGGTGGCTTTTGGGAAGCTGTGTCGACCTGTGAAGAGTTTTCCAGGTTTGAAATGTGCACTGCGAGGCTGTCATGTCTTGAAGAAGCCGATGCAAGGGGGATCGTTGATGCCTCCGCAGCCTTGTCATCTTCTGAGCCAGAACAAGATTGCATCTCGGAAATCATGTTACCTTCGGCATCATGGAGGACTGGTATAGCGTAAGTTTCAACAGGCCCCTCTTCGGCAGCCACGTTATCTTGCATCTGAGGGCCGATGTTCAAGCGCTCGATTTCAGCAACGATGGTAAGGTTGAGGTCGTCGATATCCATGAGATCTGGGGCTTCGACGTGCTTCTCATCGATCGCTGGCAGACCAGATTCTACATTCTCTGTAACTTGTGGAAGTGTGTTCGTAGGCAAGGCCGTCTTTTCGCGCCCCGGGCTAAGCTTGGAGGCTGGCGACGTAGGATGTGCGTGTTCTCCGCTCGTCTTGGATTCCTTGGGAACGATTGCGGTTCCATCTGACAGTGGCGCTTTGTTCGGCTTTTTGACAGGAGATTCGGGTTGAGTGGTCGGCGAATCTACCTTTTCAAAGAGATTTGAGGTTCCGCGATCGACGAGGCCCGCATCCTGACCTTGGTCATGCAAGCACTGAGTATCGGCGCCACTGGTAACTTCAACCTCTTCCTGGCCCTGGCTCTTGTTTGACTGCTCACTACCGTTCACCTCATTTTCTTTATCGCTTGCCCAATCGAAACTCTCGATATCCTGCAGACCGTCTTCCCAAGTATCCGTATGCGGACTGTACGCGTAGTCATCCGGTAGGTGTGGCTGGCTTTCGATGCGACCATCCGTGTGCACGTGTTGCGCGTCGTTCGTGTAACCTAGCTCTCCTAAGGACCAAGGAGCTACCACCTCAGCCTCCAACATCTCGTAACCAACCAACTCTCCAAACAGGTCGGGACCATAGGCGGTACAAGAGGGTAGGTTCGGGTCGTCGAAGCGCGCGGGAATTCCGTCCGGATCGTATTCAAAATCCATTTCGTGGGTGGGGGAGTAGATACGCATGTCTGTTGTCTAAGCAAACTGATCCAAAAAAGGCAATCGTGCAAACGGTCTTTTGTTGACGTGTAGCTCTTCGGCGCCTCCAAAGGCGGCGATAGTTGGTGGTAGAGACCGGCGCACGTATCCGCTATTCTTTCATGACCAATTGATACCCGTGTGCACGCGTATCTCTCAAGTGGTGAGGGGATGGGGTTGAGAGGGCGCCGCTGCAGGTGGGTGAAGTAATTGAGTGTTGGAGCCGTGCGTAGTAGCCGGTTCTAGCTCGCTTCCCAATTAGGTTTTTGTAAGTGAAAGAGTCTTAGCGAACAGTCCTATTGAGAGCATAGAGGTGACATGTTGTCAAGTAAGTTCTACCGGGATCTGTTGTAGTAATCTGGGTACTGTAATTTGTTAACCGTAATCTGTCGACTGTAATCTGTGATCTGTGGCCCGTAAACCGTGAAATGGTAACCGTAATCCGTAAACGGTAATCTGTAAACCGTGAACCGTAAACGCGTTCTCACGTGATGTGAACGCGCCTTGTCAGCCCACATACCCAGACTATGTGACCTGACATGCTAGTTCACGAACATATTTTTCTCACTGTGAACTTCACCGTAAAAAGCTTGGACTCGTGTACGAATGTATTATAACGCGTAAAAATCCAGTCGCTGGTGGGTATCATGTTCAAGCCGCCAGCTCTTCACCATTTCTCCAATCCTTGCTAAGCCAAATCCGATAGTGTGTGCGAAATGAAGCGCCAAAAAGCTGGATCGTATAGGAAGTCGGGGAGGTCTCGTCGAATAAGTCAAGGTTCGTCATATGGGTATCGCATTGCTGATAGCATTGCCCGTGTCCACAGGTAAAGCCAGTACACTGCTGCGGTTAGTATCAAGTTCGAGAATGCGCCCAGGAGACTTACCTCTTTCCAGCATCAGTTGCGCAACAGCAGCAGAGAAGCGATGCTGGCCAGCAGAAGATCTGAGAAACATGAGCGGATTGCCACGCGTACATGGGGAATCTAGGGAAGCCGTACAGCCATGCCGACTGTGACTACGAAGCCAATCGTAGGTCCAATAACCTTACAATGACATGGGTTCTGATCGCTGTTTGTGGGCGTGTGGTTAGTAAAGGCATGAACGTTCAGATCGCGAACTACCTACGTTCCGCACTGGATGCACAGCGGAAGGGGAACGAAGTCGCACATGTTGACAAGAGGAGGATGATAGTGACGCTACGAGGGGATTCGCTTGTTTGGAAATACGAGATGCAGTGCTGTAAGTCGCTGAGGGGATGCAGTGGACAATAAAGATGTTGGAAGTAGGAAGGCTGACAGGAAGTCGCGATGCTTGTTGTCGCGCTAGTGTCGTCATCGGGCTTCGATTCGCGATCGCTGGGAGACACGCGTCAGCCGCAATGCGCTTCTTCAATTCGATCCTCTGCATTCACCAACAAGGCTTGCCCTGAACCTGACCTAGCCAATGTAGCTATCTACAAGATGCGTTTTCGCGAACCTGATCTCGGAGTATGTTCCTGACCAGTAGATGGCAGCTGTCTGGTACCTGCCAGCCTGCTCGAAGGCCAGAGATGACGACGCAGATTCCCAGTAAATACCGCCTCCTACTACGTGACAGAGTCCACTATACTGCTTGCGTCTTCGGTTATATTCCAAGAGTCGCTGCGAACGCGTCAAATGAAGGAATACAATCTGAGACGTTGTTTGTCGCGAATTGGGATATTAGGCGGACAGTCGCTAACACCGCAATCAGCCATCAGTCCTCCATCTCTTCCCGTATCAGCTCCACCTCGACAGTCCTTTGGCCCTCTTGGATCTTGCCCTTCAGTCCATCGTTGTATTTGTCAAAGCAGAGTCTCCATAGGCCCGGCTCGCCTTCACTCTCAACGGCGATAAAGCCCTCCCAGTTCTCAAAGGTGTAGCGCTTCTCTCCGTTTGAGCCGACGCGGGCGTCGAAAGGCCCAGCCTGCCCCTCCTCCGCGTCAACGCGTAGTCCATGGCTGAACTGGAAGATGTCGGATTCGGTATCCAGATAGATCCAATTGAGCTGCGGCGGGTTATCTGAGATGGTAGATACGATGCCTTCGTAATCTTTCTTTGGGAAAGGAAGATAGTAGCCGGTGAAAGGGTGATGCGCTGGCCCTTCGTATGTTGATAGCTGGACGTATAACCTGCCGCCGCATAGTACAATTCGACTGTTCTTGAACAACTCCTTGCGATCCTCCGGCGTTCTCATGGTCGCTCGACATCGCATGTGACATTTCTCGCCTTTCCAGTCGTCGTCCTCCTCTTCAGCCTCTTTCTTTGCGTTTTCTGTTTGACTTTGCAGGGTCAGAACGGATGTTGCGGTCATAGGGACCGTTCCCACGAGAGCCAGGAGGCCGAACACCATTTTTTCAGTCTTTTGATACGGAGACGGTACGTTGGGATACTTTCAAGGTTGTGTTTAGGTACAAAGTGTAACATGTGCTAACTGGTGAGGTAGCACATGCGGTGCGTCGGAAACCATACATCACGACGCGACAAAAAGCAATGGATCACAATCGCACTTCATGCATCTCGCGTAAAAGGCCATGACGAAAGTCAAGGCGATCATCATGTGGCTGCATGAGCAAAGCTACAAAGCCAATCAAGCAGTAGTGCGCGGCTAACTTCCGGTACCCGCTCCACTTAGTTCCAGATGATCGACAGATCAATAGTGAATGCCGGTGCCAATGACGAACAACAAGCCTCATATGGCTGATCCTTGGAACGCATGAGTTGTGAGTCCACTTTGGGAGAGAGGCTATAACCTCATTGAGGAATTCTAATCGAAGCTACAGCATTAGCCGGTTGCTTTACTCATCTCCTGCATTAGATCTGTGAGCAAGCTCGAGCCACAGGCAATACCATAGCCAATTCAGCACTCATACTCGCGAAGATCACCTCGCCGACCCGTCGATCGATGATGTACCTGCGGCTGATAGATGCGGGAGCTTCGGACATGTCCGTCCAGCACCTCCGATCGAGAAGTTTATCAACCGAGACTTGCTCGCATAACTCATCGGAATCTACTCCTTCAAACCCTCCCTATCAACACTCTGAGTTCTGGCGTGGTCAGCACAACTCCCGCATCGCAGGAAAGCGAAGATACCTCATTTGACTATACCTCCACCGCACCCCCAACTCACACCACCACAAACACCGGATTCCGAAGTCGCACCAGAATCTGAATTCAAGATGGCGGACGCAACCAAGAAGTACGCCAGTCGCGTCTTCGATACCTCCTGTCGTACCATTTCTGACATATCTACAGCCTCACCGACACCGCCAACAATGCCACCGGCGGCCGCGACGGCGGACCTGGTGACACCCTTGGCAAACTAGGCAGCGCCACCAGCGCTGTAGCACCGAAGAACAAGAACAAGAAGAAGAAGGGTGGCAATGGCGACAACGAAGGGGACGACGAAGAGACCACCGAGGGTTTCGGTCTCGACAATGGATCTGATGTGAAGGGTAGCTTGAAGGTGCACATCAAGTTAGACCTAGAAGCGGATATCAAGGTCTACGCGAGGATTAGGGGAGATATCGCGATTGGTATCTTGTAAGATAGAATAGCCCTAAAATCTGAAGATCATGTTGTGTGTCAAGTCCTAGGTCGTGACAGTTAAGCATTGATCTTTTTCTCGAATCGTTTTCGGAAGTAATTTGAGATGTTTGTTGCTCCATGTCATGTGTTCAAGCTATTGGAAAGGTGACATGAGTGAATTCGTGATGCTGAGTTGCTGGAGGGCGTAGTCTCTGGGTGTGAGATGGATGGCCCGATCTACTTGACCTTTCCTGCCTCGGCTAGAAGCGCTGGACCCTGAACGTCAGGCTGCATACCAAAAATATGCTGAGAGTCATCCACCATGTCGCCAAACAATGCGCCGGCCGCTACCCCACGCCTTTCCAGAGTTCCAACAGTCGCTACATCGATTATTCTGCTCACGGCGCGACTTCCACAAGCTCTCGAGGGTTCCGCGACGCGTACAAGTGCGGAAAGCGTATGGGAAGAAAGGCAACATGGCGGGGTATGAAGACTGGTCGCAACAGCAATTGATTGCGAGAATACAAGAATTAGAGAAGCAGGTTGGAGGGAGTACCCAAGGCGCGACTGAAGAGGAGTCCCCGCTGCCTACGAACGAACAGACATCACCACCTCCAGACTCGCCAAAGTCATTAGCCTTTCGCAGAGCCAACAAGCCGCCACCGAAGGCGTTCGATGCCTCGAGATACAGCACGCGGTTGATCGCACTGAAATTTGCATATCTGGGGCAAAAGTACAATGGATTTGAGCATCACAATAACAACACCACGCCATTACCTACCATCGAGGAAGAAGTCTGGAAGGCGCTGATCAAGACGCGGTTGATAAGTCCTATACCTACGGAAGGTGACGAGAGAAGATATGAAAGAATCGATAGAAAGACCTTTGCAAAATGGGATAGGGAAGGTGCGGATGTAAACTGGGATGGCTGTGAATACTCCAAGTGTGGAAGAACAGATCGGGGTGTCAGTGCTTTTGGGCAGGTCATTGGGGTGAGGGTTAGAAGTAACAAGCCCAAACCTGTAGAAAAGATGGGAGGCGAGGAGGAAGTGGACAACGAAGAATCATTGCCTTCTTCAAACGATACCCAGACCATCCCATCAAAGCCGTTCAACGATCTCACCGACGAATTACCATACATCCAACTTCTAAACCGCGTCCTTCCTCCCGACATTCGCGTTTACGCGTGGTGCCCAAATCCACCAGAAGACTTTAGTGCACGCTTCTCCTGCAAAGAGCGGCGATACAAGTACTTCTTCACCAACCCTTGTTTCGCGCCCGTACCCGGCTCCTCTGGTCTATACAAACCCAGCGCATACGGTGCCACCACGGCAGACGACCAAGAAACGATGCGCGAAGGCTGGCTCGACATCGAAGCCATGCGAAAAGGATGCAAAGAGCTAATCGGCCTCCACGACTTCCGCAACTTCTGCAAGATCGACGCGAGCAAGCAGCTAACCAACTTTCAACGGCGAATCTACCACGCTGACATCGAGGAAGTCTCTCCACTATCTCTCCCAGGCTTCCTGTCACATCCAGCTCTTTCCGCTCCATCTCTGTCAAAGAATGGAGAGCAACCAAAACTATACTCCTTCACCCTTCATGGCTCCGCCTTCCTCTGGCACCAAGTCCGCTCTCTAGTTTCGATCCTCTTCCTCATCGGCCAAGGTCTCGAATCGCCCTCACTAGTCCCCCAACTCCTCGACATCACCGCCAACCCCACACGACCCAAATACGAAATGGCATCCGACGCCCCACTCGTCCTCTGGGACTGCATCTTCCCCCACGCCTCGGAAGTGCAAACCTCTGAAGAACGCGAACGAGGCTATGAAGACCGCCTAGAATGGGTATACATCGGCGACGAAGGCGGCAGCGAGCCCAAAGCCAGAGGAACAGGCAAAGGCGGCGGTCCCAGCACAATCGGCCGCGGGAAATGGGGTCGAGGCGGCGTCATCGACGATGTCTGGGAGATGTGGCGGGGGAACAAGGTCGATGAGACGCTTTCGGCGCTTTTGCTGGATAAGATTGCGGGTTTGGGACAGTCGACGCTGGATGCTGAGGTGCCGGTTGAGCAGCAGGGTATTGGGATAGCGAGGGGCGGACCGCGGTTGTTTGATGGAGGGGATATCGGGAAGGCGAAGGGGAATTATACGCCGTTGCTGCAGAGGGAGAGGCAGGAGTCTGTCGAGGTGGTCAATGAACGGTATAGAGTGAGGAGGGGTATTGATGCTCGCATTATTAAGACGGACGATGATGGGGATGAGTAGATTACTGAAGGCGTGAGATAGAATCGGTTTACTCGTTCGACACGATTACAATCCAAGTATGCCTGGTTGAGCAAAAGAGAAACTTCATTGGGTATCATGATTTGTTGCTGCATCTTCCAATCTTTGGCCACGGTAATCCATCCTTCAATCCCTCTTCGCCTGTTTTCACCTTAATCCCAATATCCCAGAGTCCACCATCCCCCATTTAATCCCCAGTATTCAACTCCAAATCGATCTGCACGCCATTGCTTATAGCATAATCCTCACAGGTCAAATTATCATGAAACGGCCTCTCACCCTGTCTCTTGAGCATGATCTCATGTACCGGTCTGCCAATCTTGGCTGCCACCATGGCCTTTAACAGCTTGATAGGGTCGCTGGGCAGACACGGGACTTGTGTTTTCGTTCCCAGACGGTCATTGATAGTGACGAGGATCATGTGCTCAGAAGGTGCCGCGGGAGCGGCTGCGGGTTTCTTCTCTTTGGGTTTGCTGTCGCTGTCTCGTGGTTTGCGGTCGCGAGAGCGGGAGCGGCGGCGCCGGTCGCGGTCTGAGTCTCGTCTTCGGTCGCGGGAGTTGTCGCGGGGGCGGCGGTCGCGTTCTCTGGAGCCATCGCGTCTGCGGTCGCGATCGCGATCTGAATCTCGAGGTCGTCGCTCTCGGTCGCGATCGTCGCGTCGTCTGTCTGGGTCGCGGCGGTCGCGGTCGCCTTTGTATTTGAGGCCGCTGAAGGTCTTGGGCTTGCGCGGGCCGGGAGATCTTCTAGGAGAGCGGGAGCGGGAGCGCTCTACCTTTGAGGACTCCATGGCTAGTGGTGTGTGTATGGGGTGTGTGTTGTGTTGGTGGAGAGGGAAGAGCAAGTGTAGGTCAGGCAGCTTCGTGGAAAACGTGAGCTCGGCATTGCGCTTATCGATAAGGAAGCTAGCAGGAGCGCGTCATCCCGTCCGGCGAGGCTTCCTTTCACCCCCACATTCCGCCGTCTGTACTGGAACTCGTCTAGCGATGCCTCCTTCAATTCGAATATGATGTTGAAGCTCATCGATCGCTTCAACTCTCCGCCAGCGCAGACGTTGCAAGTACTGCAGCCCACATCGTCGACCATCACATACACCGTTTCGACGCGTTCTGTACCCAAGACACTTCCCGCTTTGGTAGCATACTATGCAGGGATACTGACGAGAGTGCTGCTGGGTATAACTAGCGTCCTCTTGCTATGGATGAAATGGCGCGTCACACAAGCTCAGACTCTGGATCTGTCGCTGGGTGTGTTGGGCCATGAGACAGAAAGGCAACTAGTAAAGCTGGCGGAAGCTTGCCAATGGCGATACCTGGCACCCAGTACATTGCTCACACTCTTCCTAGTCTTCCGCCGAAACTATACAGGTACATCCTTCGCCGCCTTCTCAGCCTCCCCTAAGCCCAAGCTAATATACATCATAGAAGAATCACTCACCGTACTCCGGGGCCTCGGTGTCCAGACCTCTACCACCTCCTCTACGTATCTCCAGACACCCACTACGCGCTTCATACCGACTACGAGTATACAGGACGTCTTCATACACGAGGCGTTCAAGGGCTTCGAAGTGAGGTTCTTTCTCATGATCGTAGTGGAAGGAGAAGGAGAGGTGGTGGTCGTCTTTCCGAGACTGCTACCGAGAAGGGCGACACTGGAGACTGTTTGGCGGGGCGTCAGGGGTGGGTTATGGGAAGATAGCGTCAGAGCGCCGACAGAGAAGGCAGGGCCGTGAAGAGAGCGGAGACTGTAGAAATGCGATATCATTTTGCGTTTGCGGTGCGCATAACAATGGCGGAATGACCATGACTTTATCCATGTCCCACATAACATCTGACGAGAAGTCTAAGTAAGCCTTCTCAGAGATATCGTGATAATGAAGTCGTACCTTCAAATTCGCTGCGTTACGACTTCCTACACACGGCTCCTCCATGTCTCCTGAACTCGGAGCAGGAACCGCGCCCAATCTCTTCCGTACTGGTATCAATCTCCTACTGGTGTCCAAATCCCAAATACGCCATGAATCCAACCTGGTGCCCCCATCGTGAGCTTCCCCTCAATATCTGTACCTCGTAGAATAATCCTTCGGACTAACCACCAAACCCCGCCCCTTCTTCGCGCCCCGATAAACCGTCTCAATAATATCAATAAACTCCTGCTTATCCTCCAACACCCAATTCAGCTTGTTATTATTTCCTGTCCCGAAATCGCACATCATGTGTTTATTGCGGAAGAAGAACATGACGGTACATGGGTCGTAGAGCTCGTACATGGCTTTGAAATCGGGGACTTCGTCGAGGTCGCAGAGGTAGATGGCGCAGAAGTTCTTGACTCGGTCGGCGATCTTGTAGAGGACTTCGTCTTGTTGCATGCAGTCTGGGTCCGAGTCGCGCCCGAAGCGGATGAGGACGAGGCGGTCTTCTTCGCTGAGGATCGCTTGGTCGACGTGCCAGCCTGTACGGAGGTGGGGGAGGACTACGGAGCCCATGGTGGGTGGATGTGCGTGTGGAGCTGAACTTGGAGTTGGACGTGTGCGACCGTAGAAGATGGGTGGCCGAGCTGGTCGACGGCGAAGGCGGGCACGTTAGACTGGCTACGGTGAGTCGATATGTGCTTTGCGCGATCGTGCGACAAGAACGTGTAGCGCGTTGGGACGTTCGTATAATTATGTTTGCGCGATTCTTCAAAGTATGGGAGGGTTGAAAGAAAGTTAGTCGCGCCAGGCAGCTGCCGCCCGTGATCTAGAAAGTTCCCGAGGTCGCCCCACTGGACTTCGACCTTAACACATTGATACCTCTTACAATCCTTTCACTTTTTCCTGCGTGTAACACTTGACACATAAGGCGCGGTAGACTCCCTTCGTTCCGATAAACGTACACAGCACCTGGCAGCGGAATTCGGCCTGTGTGGTGCTCGATTGACTCCATAGACTCACCTCCCGGGCATGCAAACACTCTGCCTTGCCACTTGGGCAGACGTCGACGACAGCTGTACTGGCCTATAGCGCCATCAGGTTTCCGGCATACTTTACTTGACCAGTACCACGGAGCACGTCCATAAAGCGTCTGGGTTCTTGTCAAAGGCCCTACATCTGTCCTCCTGTCCTTGGCTGTATTTGCTTTTGTTGCAGCCTTCTCAAGTCTGTGTAACGTTCGTTTGCACTTTGCAGCTGACCGCCTCTCCTATAAAATTGATTTAATCCACATCTGCTGCTACCATGCGGGCACGTCGGCTGATGTACCAGCCGCCTGGGTGATGGCAAGAGGTGTAGTATTAACAAGCTGCAGACTGCCCGCTCGAGTCCCCCGGGAATCAATCGCATGTCCGTTGTGTGTGGGTACACTTTCGTAAGAACAGACTAGTAGAGGGGCCTAGTCCAGTCACAGGTAACTTACTCGAGTGCCCTGGGATGGGTGTGGGCAAAAGGTGTGCGGGACGGGGCGCGGGGGATCGGGAGTACCCATGGACTTGGCCGGTAGGATTCCGCTTTGATGCAGCACCAGGCATCCTCTCTACGCGTTTGTTGCAGCTTTATTAAAGTATGGAAACTTGCGAATCGTTGAGTACAACATTCACAGACTCTATGCTACGGAAACATTCAAGCTGTTCTCGGGAAAGTCTACCACTGTCACACTCTACCATCTCACATCGATCGGGAAGGTCTAAGTCGGACCCAAGTGCCATTTTTGGGATAGATTCGGGTGTTTCCGTAGATTTGTTTGTGCATGTGGGTGCTAATATACGTGTAGGCATCGTCAGGGTGATGCTGCAGTGCACCTATTGCATTAGCGAACAGCCAGAGTGAAGCATCATCGGTCTACTTCATCAGCGCACATCATGAGGACGTCGCCTTAACAGACACGGAGAAATAAACTGGTTCGAGCAAAGCCGATTAGGGGGGTTCTTCCTGCGAAAATCTGTTTACAGAGTACAACCTTCGTCATGCCTGAGTAAACCTGCTGCGTCGTCGCATCGAACGACACACACCACGTTGATTGTTACGGTACTGCGAGTCGGACCGATATCATATTCAGCACCTGCCCATGCATACTACAGAAGAGAACTCTGTCATCCAACCGGCCAGTGGGTGTGCCACCTGTCCGATGTGCCAAGAGTAAATCCGTGACAACAGCCTGAAGGTAGGAGCACTTCTTCATGCTTGTTATATGGACGGAAACTCTGGCTCAGCAGATTTTATCCGCCTATTCCGTTGTTCATGTACTTGATGTATCTTTCAGATGATGGTGATGGGCGTCTGCTTGATTGTCTCGCCACGGCAAAACTTGACTGCTCTAATCCGCACTGGGTTGATGTCCTGCACCGCTTCCCCTTACCCCGTTTACGAGTATCGTACGATACAACTAGGCCTTACTAGAAATAGATCAGGACAATTGAGATGGTGTCGAGCAACACTAGTTGGTGGCAAAGAGAAGCATCTGCATGTGCAGACCAGACACCAACCAAAGACGTTGTTAGCAGTCCATCACATAGGGCTCAGAATACTATAGATGACTCAGCTGAGTAGGTCCGGTAAGTTCTATCATAGGCCCAAATCTTTCTTTGTTTTTCAGGCATCCGGCTCCAAGGGATACATCTGGTAGCCGAGAAATCTCAAGCTGTGCTGCAGCCAAGATTATTGATCCCTTTCTGAAAGTATGAGACGAAGGGATTTGCTTTTGCTGCTCTGGAAGTCTACATAAGACCTCCAGTGCTCACTGAAAGCTTCAATACCATCAGCATCGCACCTTCCTCATCACAATCAGACTAACACTCTTCTCGACCATTCATCATTTCTCAAACATATCACAATGTCCGACTACACCGGCCCCGGATTGTACGAAATCCTGCCCAGATATGCTCCGGAGATGAGCTTGAACGTCTGGGGCGCAGCAACGACAGCCGGCACGCAAGTGAAGCTATAGTAAGTTACTCGAGCAGTCAGAGAGAGCATGTTGATTAACTTCATCCAGCCAGAGAACCAAAAGCGCCGACAACACTCATTTTGAGATCGTAGCAGCAGGAGGCACGGATGCCAAGCCCGAAAAAGGCGATCGTGAATACCACATCATCGCCGCCTGCTCTGGCCTCTATCTGACTTCGGCCGGTAATTCGAAACCAGACTGACATGTATGTTCTCCTCACATGGCTAACCTATCTAGGGCCAAAAGCTGGTTACATCAAGACGGAGCTTCGCAAGCCGCTCGACAGCACCATCCGCTGGAAGATCGTGCACTGCGGAAACGGTTCTTACCGGTAAGTGGCTCCGTACAGCCCCACTTGGCCTTGAGTTCGCTTTCTGACGCGCGTGTGCATGTGTTAGTATCAACAATGTCGATGGGAAGACGCAGCTCAATGTCGCTGGTGGTGGCAAGACCAGCGGCACCGACATGATTGGCTGGCAATTTTCTGACGGCTCTGAGAACACGGAGTTCCGTCTCATGGCTGTTTAAGTGATACGGGGGAGACTCGAGTTTATTGTCTTGTGTTGAACAGGATTGTAGAATCTGTCGCTCACTTACAAAGTCCATTCAATCAACAGGCTGATATGCTTCCGAATGATTGTGATGGGTGATGAGGCTTGTGCTTTCAGTGAGACGACGCTAACAGCTCACTCATCAGTCCCTTATTACCTCTGCCTAGGTTAGTATCGATGCATGTTAGAAGTATGTCTTGGCCACTGCGCACTTGTTGACAGCTGACTTCATGTGAGGTTCAGCAACTTTCACGGTCTCTTCCTCATATCAGACAAACGTTGCTTTCCTTGGTTGTTACATGTAAAATATATCGATACACTAGACTATTTTCCCATGGAAGGGACTACAAAGTGTACCTGTAGAAAGGACTCTTGTCACCCATGAGCAACAACTCCTGCTCGGAGTATCTCGCGCGAATAGCCTCCTCTCCGTGCTCAGCAATCAGCTCATCCCTCTTACGGTTCTCCTTTGCATACGCCCACCTCAATACCAAAGTCATGAGGATCGCGGTGCAGCACATGGCCAAACTAGCCGAGAAACCTGTCGTGTACTTTGGTGCTTCGCGTGCCAGATACACGTTGCTGCCCATGATTCCACCCATGTTTCCAACGGAGATAAGCAGAGCCATGCCAACAGCGCGTTTTGACGATGGGGCGAGAGAGTTGCCGATCCAGGAGACGAGACATGTGAAGGGGCAGTAGAGACCACCGGCAACGGGGAAGAGGAAACCGTAGGTGATGCCAGGGTATTTGGGCTTGGGGATAGCAAGCTGAGCGATGAAGCCGCACACAGCGATCGAGTAGCCTGCAATGATGTATGGGGAGCGCTTGCGCGTCAGATCGGAGGCCCACGCAAAGATGAGGGTAAGAATAGCGGCGAATACGTAGATGGGGATCGTGAGGAGCTGAGCGTTGGCACTGGTATATCCGAGTCCTTGAATAACAGAGGGCACGGTCGCGGTGAATCTGTATGAAACTGTTAGAGATGAAACCGCAGCAAAGCTGGATATCTTCAGCTTACCCATAAACACCAACAGTGTTTCCCCAGAAAATGACCGTAGCAGCCCAGATCTTCCAGTCGGAAAGACCAGCAAGAATCTGTTCTTTTCCGATCTTGTCGCTGTTGGTGGCTTGTCCCTGGCCAGACCCGGAGTCGTTGGCCAATCGGGAAACAAGCAAGTCGCGCTCCGGTTGTGTCAGAAACTTCGCGGTCTCTGGACTATCGGGGAGAATCTTCCAGATGATGAGCGCGAGCGCTACTGGAATCAATCCCTCTATGAGAAAGATCCATTGCCATCCTGCGAGTCCAGAGCGTCCATCAAGTTGTTCGATACCGTAGGCGAGGAGACCACTGAAAGCACCAGCGAGGGAGGCGGCTACGTAGAAGACAGCCATGCGGCGCTGAAGTTCGAAACGACGGTACCAGAGAGTAAGCAAGAATGTTGCTGCTGGAAAGAAGCCAGACTGCGAATGTAAGCAAGTGTTCTCCATCTTGAACCAAGATGCTGGGGACCTACCTCTGTTACACCCAAGAAGAATCTTCCAGCGAGCAGACCACCATAACTGGACGTGAGTCCCATCAATGTCATGACGAGACCCCAGCAGAACATGAGGATCGCCATCCAATGACTTGGTCGCATCATCTTGAGCACGATGTTGCTGGGTACTTCGAGAATTGTGTACGGAACGAAGAATAGAGTAACGGCAGTGTTGTACTGAATACCGTTCATCTTGAGGTCATCCGTCATACCAGCAATCTTCGCGTTACCGACTACAGCACGTTAGCAATTCGTTCCAATGCATCTCTCAGAAATGAATATGTCCAAACGTACTGTTACTCCGATCGATAAACGCAACAAGATAGAGGAGCGAAAGCATAGGGACAAGTCTCATGTCAACTTTCCTCAAAACGCGCGCTGCCTCCTTCTCCTCCAGTTCGACATTTTGCGCTTCAAGCTCGCCAGTTCCGGAGGAGTTTGAGATCTTCTCCGCCACATTCTCAGCCCGCTGGTGCTCAGTAGAGAGCTTGCCGTGATCGAACGTTGTCGCCATCGTGTGAATATTGCACCGCGTCTGCTTCAATGCAAAGGCGGGTGAGGAGGCTGGCAGGGCAATGCACGAATGCTTCCCCATGGGCAACCCCTACCCTTTAAAGCATCTCGGTAGAATGCAAAGCCCGACATCATCCATCTCAACGGCATACCTTCTTCGGCAGCGTTACCCACTTACATGCATGCCTTGCCTCCCGTCAGCGCAATCGAGCCTCTTGTGTGGAGGCGGGTAGAAAGCATCTTGGCTTCTGGGGTAGCAAGCGGCGCTTTTGCGGGGTAGTCTGGAGGGATCATCATGCGCGGCGTCGGCACGTGCTGCACGATCTGCATGTTGCTGTGACGTATGGTTCGACCATCTGTCAACCGGCACAGCGTTTACTGGAGATGTGCAGGGGCGCATTTGCCGATCTCAGAAGCCGCGGTGTCGGTGTGGCCTTGTTGAAGGGCCGGTGGTGGTTTTCGATGCGAGGTGCGTGCTGGGCGGTTGTCGGATGGGTGCCGTCGGCGATAGACCGAGGAAAAAGAAAGTCCGGTCGGTGGCAGCACCGCTTGCAATGGGCTTCTTGAGCTTACACTTGATGACAGCATCGCCTTGCTACGAAGACGTACGTCTTCTCATGTCTCTTTTGAGACCATATGAGTTAGGTTCGCGATGACTGTCTAACGTTTGGTGCCAGCCTTGGTGGTGCTGTTCTTATCAGAAGAGCCGTGGATGAATATAGGAAGTCTCGCCGAGGACGTGTTACCCGTAAACCTTCACAGCACAGACACCATTCCCCAGCCTCGCTCCACAGTTGCCGTCACTTTTGCTCTTCGACTAGGGAATACAACTCTATTGTGGTCTCCGACGATGAAATATCGTACGAAGTTTCGCGCCCAGTATTGAACCTCAAAATGTTGTATCCATTACAATGACCATGGTATATAATCCCGAGGTCTTGCAGACAAACTCCTATCCTGGCTATTGGCCATTCCCGAAATCGCCTAAACGCCGTCTAATGCTCCCAAATCTCCTTCTCCCATGTCCAACAGCTCTCAAATCGAGCTAGGATACATCATAACCCGAAGACTCGCACCAAATGACTTTGGCGGGAGGTTGTTCTGGAAAGATGCGCGAACAACACCAGAGTTGCCTGTTCTTGAATCAATATCTTTTCTTTCGCAAGTCTGACAAGCTGTACGAACCATGTGTCCTGCGGATCTTGCCCCAGATCACACGAGGACCTTCTTCTTTGCTGCTGGCAACGCGGTAGACATATGCGACGCGCTTGCCGAGATACCACTGCGCGTCTTGCGTGCTGTCGACGCCTTCAAGCGCGAGGAGGCTCACGTTGGGGTTTGTGTTGCGTTTGCCGCGCTGGTAGCTGACATGGCGGGCTTTGACGTATACTGCACAAACTATTACTACCTGCACAGCGGCGTGAAACTGCTGCTACTTACGACGGTGGCTCTTTTCTGAAGACATCGCGATTTTTACAATTGTTTGTTTATCGTCGGAAGGTGAGTTTTGGTCGATTGGTGTGCGCTCGGTAGACTGCTTACCTAACATATATGGGTCTTCGAAGTTCAGACAGCGCGTGGTAATAATGTAGGCACCTACTGCTGCGATCGACGGCTGACGGTTAGTTGCCTAATCCGGACTATCGTCACAGACAGAGCGCAGCAACATCTAACCTCCCCGCTGAGTTCAGACTACGGCAACCACGAATGTAACGACTTTGACAGCTTTTTTGTCAATCCTAGATCGCGAATACCTCAAGTACTTTCGACTCCTTCCTGCCGCCTGTTGTCAACTCACACCATCACATCATCCTGGCTTCATCATTTCACGGGTGTTAATATTCAGGAATGTACGTTTCTCAGTCGATATTAAAGCTATTCAAACAAGCAACTATTGGAACAAGAAACCAACGCAACTACTAGGCTAAACCGTGCGCCTAGTTTTCGACCATACAACGGCCGAGGGGTATACAGCTTTCGTCAATCATCCGTGTTTATGCCCCTGGAGAACGCCAACAAGAAATGCATCTTCCAACCCACGAGAGGTCGTATACTTGCGAGAACCAACGCACAGATATGCAAACACGAGAAAAAAAGCAAGACAATAAAGAAGAATGCCCACAGGCAAGGAATTTGATTCCGGCTGATCAATTTCGATTCGTGTGAAGGTGAGGAACGCCGAAACAATGCAGTATAAACAATTTTTTTACGATGAGGAGGTAGGGCTTGGCTCCTCCTCATCTGACTCGTAGGTGAGGGTGGGCGCTTGCCATTCGACATTGAACTTCTGCTGGTACTCGTGGCTGTTGATGATATCTTCGAATTCAGCTTGACATTCGTCATCAAGTTCGATAATCTCCGCTCCTGGCATGTCGTCGAACATGGACGATGCGGAAGTTGCCATTTGTGCAGGAGTAGCGGCAAGAAGTGACACGTTGCCAGCTTCCGATAGAATGCTTGGTGATGGGTAGGTTGCCTCGCGGAGACGGGAAGGCTTAGCAGGTGTGTGCTTCATTAGTCTCTGGCGCTGGCGCTCAATCTCATCTCCAGGCTGCTGGCGGGTAGGGGTTGGGGGCGCTTCGGGCACATCAGACGCTTCATCCGTAGATCCGCCTGGCAGGGGAGCATGCGCAGGAACGGGGGCTGGTGGGGGTGGTTGGGTCCAGATAGGAGTAGCTTCAGCGTCAGCGCTCTCGCTGCCCATTGTAGAGTCTTCTTCATCAGAATCATCATCGGGGACGCTGAAAGAGCCCATGCCTGGATTATGGGAGTGGGTGTTCTCCTTGGTTGCGCTTTTCAGGACCTCACGATCGTTCTCACGGATCTGTGCCGCGGTGTCGTGTCCTTGTAGTTCGCTAAAGATGTTACCGCCGGTGTTGTGTGAGATGGAGTTGCTGAACATGGGTGATGGGTCGATTGAGCGACGAGGGTGGAAGTCACGGAGTGAAGCGGACTGGCCATGGCTGTTGTAGAGCTTTGGTGAAGTACGCGCGCCGTTGCTGGCGGCGAACTGCTCGTCGATGGTAGGAACTTCGTCGTCGCCCGTGGTGAATTCGTGAGTCTTCTTGTGCTTCTTAGCGGTGTGCTCTTCTTCTTCAGCCACGATATCGAGATAGACAGCCCAGACTGGTACAACATCGTCATCGTCCAGATCACCAAGCGGGTCGCCGAAGCCAGTCTCCCAAGGCTTAGCTGACGGGAAATTCGACAGCTCCTTGCACAGAACGTCCTTCTGAAGACGCGCACGCTTCTCGCTGAAAGCAGTATCGTTCTTCAATTCAGGAATGACCTGCTTGGCCCACTCCTCTGCCTTGTGCCTGTCCTTGCGGTCGACGCCCTTGAGCAGTAGTTTCAGCAGTGTGTTCATGGGCGCACGCCTCTTGTTCGGCGTCTTGACGCGCTCGCCAACAGGTGTAGGAGGGAGGGAGAGGGTCTCGGTGATTGTGTTCTGGGGTGGTAGAGGCTTCGCAACGGTGGGCGATGCGACTTCGGGGGTTGGCGGGGGCTTGGGGGTCGAGGAGAAAAGTCGGGATTTGATAGCAGAGAATGACCTGCTGAAAATGTTGGATGGTGTTGCGACGGGGCGGTTGGGCGTTGCTGTGACATCCTCGAAGGTTCTCTTGGCGGACGGCTGTTGTGGTGAAGGTTCCATGGCGACGTCATTGTCTGAGAATGTTTCGCTGTCATTGCTTAAGGGCTCAACGCGCCTGGTTTCTTTGGCAGAGCTCTCGATCTTGTGGAGGAGCGCAAGGGCTTCCTCGTTGCCATTCACAAACACACCATGTGCCGGAGATGACTCGCTGATTGCTACTAGTTCACTGTCGAATTCTGCGTAACTGACGTTAGCCGGAGTACCGTAGCTAATGTGTGGAATATTCTCTAGTCGCGTGATTTCCATGCGCAGACGCAGGTTCTCGTTCTCGTAGAGGAACATCTGCTGATCTTTCTGCCACATCATCTCTACGAGATTCTGGATGCGAGCCTCCTGGTTTGTGACACGCTCGCGGAGATGATCAATCTCCCTCTCTTGGTGTTCGTACTTCTCCTTGCGGAGCTCGTTGTCGATTTCTTCCTCTGAAGGGGTGTAACTATGGGGAAGTTGGTGCTTACTCTTTGTGAAGAAGGCGCCCATGCCATCTTCATTCTCGGCTTCTGCCTCGTCTTCGGCGCTCTCGATGGCCTTAGCCGCGGCCAGCTTTGCGGCCACTGCCTTTCGTTTCTCACTGGTGACTTTCTGGCGGGCTGTGCCGCGTCCTTGCTTGACGGGCTTCGTCTGTTCCAGGCTGCGCTGCGGCGAAGCCTCTACGCCTGCCTCTTTCAGCGCCTGGCGACCGGCTCTGGTGAGCTTCTTGGCGACAACAGGCGCTTGCGTCGCGGTTTTGGTTGTTGATGATGTGGTGGTTGTTGTGGTGACGGCGGAAGCGGCGTTTGCGCGTGACGTAGCGCGACCCTTGGTGACTGTCTGCTGCGACTCTGTCACGGTCTGCGACTCGACTTTGGCGGCGGCAGCCTTGGGCTTGCGACCGGGCTTCTTCTTGGGGGCAGCCTCTGGCGCAGGCGACGCCGACTGTGAGCTTTGCCTGGAGGCGGGCTGCGAAGACTCGGTGGCCGCTGTCGCTGCAGTGCGACGCGTTGAGCGCCGTGTAGTAGCTGACATGGTACTGCGAGCGCGGTCAGTAGGAGCGGTGCGCAACAGCAGTGGGGACGTACGAGGCAGTTGCGATGCAATTGCCAGTAAGCAGTGAATGATCTGATGGCAGATGCAGCTGCGAAGGTGTGTTGGGATGGTTGCGTTGTCGGGGTGCGTTGGCAAGGGAAGTTGCGATGGAGTTAAGAAAGTTGTACATGCACCTCCGGCCATTGGGGCTAGCGCGTAAACACCCCAGCACCATCGAGGCAGGCGCGACACGGGCCACGCCTTGGCATGACGACCAAGCTGGAGCTCTTTGCCTGCGACGGTCGACAGCAGCCAGCATCAGCATCATGGAGGGCCTTTACTACAACGTCAAATACGGGTATGATACACGCGTTTGGCGTCGCTTCATTCATATCTGACATCTCTCTACAGTTACATCGAGGGCATCGTGCGCGGTTACCGCAATGCACTGCTCACCAGCCAGAACTACAGCAACTTGACCCAGTGCGAAACCATCGACGGTACATCGCATCCCGTCGCTACTGCCTCTGGAACCGCTCTAACAATGCTACAGATGTCAAGCTGCAGCTCTCGCCCGCGTACGGTGACTTCCTCAACAACTTGCCCCCGAACCCGTCCACGTCTGCGCTCGCCGCGAAGACCACCGACAAGCTCGTGGCCGAGTTCCGCTATCTCCAGGCCAACGCCACCGGCTCGCTCTCCAAGTTCATGGAATACCTGACGTACGGATACATGATCGACAATGTCGCGCTGCTGATTACGGGTACCCTGCACGAGAGAGATACGCGCGAGTTGCTGGAAAGGTGTCACCCGCTCGGCTGGTTCGAGACCATGCCGGTGCTGTGCGTGGCGACCAACATTGAGGAACTATACAACTCCGTCCTGATTGAGACGCCGCTCGCGCCCTACTTCAAGGGCTCGCTCAGCCATCAGGACCTCGACGAACTCAACATCGAGATCATCCGCAACACCTTGTACAAGAACTATCTAGAGGATTTCCATCAGTGGATCAATTCCTGCCCAGATATTGCCGGGACACCGACTGCAGATGTCATGTCGGAGGTTTTGGAGTTCGAGGCCGACCGCAGGAGCATCAACATCTCCCTCAACTCGTTCGGTACCGAGCTGTCCAAGGCAGACAGGAAGAAGCTTTACCCAGGCTTCGGTAAGCTATACCCGGAGGGAACCACAATGCTCTCGAGAGCGGACGACGTAGAGGGTGTGCGAATCGCTGTTGAGAGTGTTGCCGACTACAAAATGTTCTTTGACCAGACCGGCCTCAGTGGAGGTGGCGGTGGTGTCGGCAACATGGCCGGTGGTGTCGGTGGCGAGACGAGGAGTCTCGAGGATCTCTTTTACCAGAAAGAAATGGAGATCTCGAAGCTTGCATTCACTCATCAGTTCACTCACGCCATTGTGTACGCATGGGTGAAACTGCGCGAGCAGGTACGTTGTGATTCCATCCTGAAGAAAACGTAGCGACTGACATGACACGCAGGAAATCCGGAACATTACATGGATAGCCGAGTGCATCGCGCAGAACCAAAAGGAGCGCATTGGTAACTACATCAGCGTCTTCTGAGTGCGCGCATCATTGTAGTAATAGCATGTTTGGGTCCAACTATGGAATGGCTTGGGTGGCGTTAGGGTGCGATCCGTATATCCAACTTTGTTAGATTGTACATCTCTGCATGTGTGTTCTTCGTCTCTATCTCATCTCCTGTCGGGTGTCAACACGTCTAGCCATGCTTTCGACGTCCCAATTCCGCCTTTGCCCGTTATCACTACGGCTGTCAATCTGCTGTGACTCATCATCGTATTCGACTGTGCAGGAATAAGTGAAGGATGAATCCGTTGTGCTGCTTTGAACGCTGGTGTCCTTCGTCCACGCTGTACATCTACGCTAATTCTCGTTTTCGTCTTCACAAATATCATTTTCAGTCACATACGCCGAACAGTCAGGGATGCGCAGCGGAGACGTATGACTGACGGCGATCAGTCTCAATGTCGTTGCGAAAGCCCGACCTATGGCTTGCACCACGTTGTACAGTTCGAGCTATTAAGGCTCTAAAAGAGACCTACGTACAAGCAACAACTATACGTCGAGTTTGAGAGCCTTGTGAATCAACGCTTTTAGTAGCTCTAGCTTCGGGTACAAGACTAAGGCAGTCAGGATTTAAGCTTTTCCTGACCTTGATCTGGCTCGAAGTGTCTCTCTCTAGGCTTGACCAATTTACGCAAATGCCTTGACAACTGAGTAGTCTCCATGACAAAGATACTCGGCGTGGATCTGTCTATGGTGTGCTAGGCGAACTATACAGGCAGATCGTCATACTCCATATTACTCATGTTTTGCTGAGCACCCGAACATCACTGTCAAGTCAGTCATGGTACCAATTGATTGCCGTCTAGATGGCTCGGTATTTGCGTAAAGCTCGTCAATCACGCTGTACATAGGCTGTTCCCCGGTCGCAAATAAACTCTCACATATAATTGGGTCGCACTACAAGCCAGGTCGCGTCATCATCCTTCCGTTACCTAGGTACCCATATCACAATGTCGACGACCACACCACTCAAGCGCGACTCTGACTGGACTACCACACAACTGGAGACAGCATATGACACCTTGTGCAAGTACTATGAAGAGCGGAAGAAACTTTATGACGATACAATGCGTCTTTGCGAGAAAATGCACAAGGAACGCGTTGGCGCTTCTGCAGCAATTAAATCACTGCACGACGAACAGAAGGCATATCTGCGTACTCTGTTCGGGGATCTACGAGGCATCATGGAGCAGATGAAGGATATAATCGGGGACACCGATGGCGGCGATTCATCTACTCAAGGGGATGCTCCAGCAGATGTTGGTCACGAGGACGGTCAAGGCACTACTTAAATGGAAGCGAGACAAGCGGAACGACGATGCATGTGACAGCGACAGGCAGCATGCAAGCAGCCGCGACGTATCTACAGTAGAAGGTTCAATGGGGCATAGTCTTACGATAGCAGATAGTCCTAGTCCATCTCAGCCATTCTCTTCCTGATTCGAAACTCCAGTTACCGAATGAGGCCCGCAACCATCGTTGCCGAAGTGCAGCCATAGTCGAAGTTTAGATACGAGCTTCGTAAAGGAGGTGTAGCGACAGTTTACTGCAGGGAGAAATTACGGTGCGTGGTGGTGACCCCAAAAAGTAAACTGGCGTGAAGCCTCGCAGAGTGCAAGAAGCAATTCCATAGTCTCTTACGCAAGGTTATCCGATCGACGCGTTCGCTCGAGGAGCTAGCTTGTTTTAGAGATACCAGCTCATTTTGGGGTGAATGGTGTTGGAGGGTCTGCTAGAGTTGGTGTGGACCCTAAGTGACAGAAAAGGAAAGAAAGGGCGAGTGTGCATGTGCGTCATGGCGCTAAGAGGGTGATCATATCTGGGCAGTCACTACGGTGCATGCACTTTGCTCATCCTCATTCAGACTGCTGCAATGCGTGTTCACCGCTTGCGCAATACAGACGTGACTGGATTCGTGTTAGTATTCCTTGGGTCTTTGTAGATCTCGTTGACTACGTGCGTAACTGCAGAGTCCGGATTGACACCTTCGTTTACCTTTCACGCATGCGAAAACATTCTTTTTCATTCCTCGAAGCGAGGTGGGCATGACGAGTACCCTCCATCATTTGGCGGATACATTTTCTCCGATGAAAAAATAATCAGGGTGGGTGAGGAAAGACGCTGTGGCACTGGTACTGCCGAACCAAAATACTGAGCCACCCTCAATTACCGCTTTACAAAACGAACGTCAAACGGCCAGCTAAGATCCAGACCTAACCGATGGTACCAGCCATCGTGTCGCCGGTATACGGGAACATGCCGGTGTTGAGCGAGGTAGGCGTGTTGAGAACTTCAAAGGCCACCTTCGGTTCTAGCAGACTGCACGGCTCGCTCACGTAGCCTTCGTCACGCTCATATGTACGCTCGCATATATGTCTGATAGCCTCACCACATAACTATCACACTCGTCTGTGTGCCATGGTTCTTCGAATCAAAACCCTCACGATGTTCAGCTCTCGTGCACTTGTCTTCGCATCGCGAGCGATGTGCCTGAATTCAGCTTCTTTCTCGTTGCTTGTCTGAACAGCAACGTGGAAAAAACTCAACATAAACCACGAGCTGAAGAGAACTTAGTGGTAGCGACTCACTCCCACATGTGCTCCAAGCGAGTCACAGTCCAGCTAGGTGTCAAAACACCAAAATCCTAAATATGGGCAACTTCATTCGCTCGCCAAAGCGCACAGTACCATGTGTTCTGGACACCTGCAAAAATAAAGATAGCCAGTGCAAGAGCCTCCTTCAAGCCTAGACCATCGCCTTACCCCGAATTAAACGTTTTACCCTGAATTTACGGATGAGAAAAGAACAAGTACATGGCTTCTAACGGGGAAGCAGGAGGACAGTGCGAGGTAAGTCGTTCGCAGTGAACGTCTCAAAAGCCGAAACAGCTGGACGTCCAGCTTCAGGGTCTTTAACTTTTTTGTTCCGATCAGTACATCAGAATATGCTAAGGCCGAGATCGAGCGAATGTCAAAGCAAAGCCGCGTCAACCTTTCTCGTCAGCAACGAGAGCAAGTATACTTATGAAACAGACGGCCATGCAGACAACACCCAGACCTTAATCACTGGTACCATCGTGGCCTTAGCATAAAGTTCACCCTCAATAACCCTTACCAACAGACCTACCATTCCTCAACCGACGATCCTCAACCCTCGGTACCATGCGTCCTCGACTGGGTCCCCATTCCTCTCCCCAATCCTTGCGCCGATACCACTCCGCGACCTCAAACATGTAGTCCAACATGTCGAGTCTCGCCATGCATCCCTGGTCCCTCATCCCTCGCTTACGTTGTAAAGTCTCCTCGTAACACGCACCACTCTTCACCGTCTTCCATGTACACTAGCTCGTCGGGTACGTGGCCGGGGCTTGAGCATGCGCCACGGCCTAGGAAGGTCACCAGGGCGCGCGTTGAGTATCCCAGAATAGATCGGTTTGGTAGGGTAGACAAGGGGAAAAGGAGGATGGTGTGGGATGAGGGCTGGGTTGGTGGCAGGCCTTTCGGAGTTGAGTCGGTGACGGCGAGGAAGATGGAGGGGCCGCATATGATGAATCATACTAGTCAAGGTAAGAGTTGGAGTCATGACGCTGCGTGAGTAATACCTCTTGGCTGTACTGTGGTATCAGACACTGATATGCGCATAGTGAGAAGAGGCGACGAGGTCGTCCCAATGCTAGCGCACCTACAACCCGAGCGTCTAGTATGGACCCAGATGGACGCGAGCGTGGTGTTCTCAGTACTGCTACTGCTTCTGTCAAGAGCGAACCACAAACACAACCACAACCAAGTCTCTCTTCTGCAGGGGAGCAGATGCAGCGAAAGCACATGATGGAGCTTGAGGAAGAGGAACATCAAGAAAGGAAGAAAGCGAGGATAAAGAAGATCAAGTCAGCGTGTACTCGCGTCATTAGAGGGATTTTGCGTAGGTGAGCGAAATCATATCGCTGCGTCACAGTGTTGGTAGATGTGGCGTGAGGGTTGTCTTCCGGCTAAACGTCAACCTTGCTTGCTCCATAAGCGGGCGTGATCGTGAGAGTCACTCCACATAATATCACCATAACGCCATCTCGCAGACCTCTCGAGAATCAGCAGGACTGCGTAACGATAGAGCTATTCCTCTCCGAAAGGAATGTATAAATTTCCCTTCCATACGACACATCTCTTGTCATCAATACAACGACAGTTTACCGAACACCCATTACATCACCAAAGACACCTCTACCGCTCTCACAAGCAAGACCCGGATAAGATGCAACACCACTTCCACATCCCGCACCCGCACTTACACATGCGCGTACCGCATCTGCATGTGAAACAGCATCTAGATAGGTGGCTGGCAGATGTCGCTGAAGTCTACTGCCGTGCTGCTTGACAAAGAAGCTGAAAATGACGGCAATGACCGAGGCAGGCAAGTAACAAGCAAATCGCAAAGGTACCTGCGCTCCATCCTGACATCTCTCGATAGCAACGAAATGAGAGCTGAAAGGTCCTGGTTTGAAGTTGAGCGAGAACCCGCGTGTTGAGTTGATGTTCTCAGGACATCCCGGGCAGACAGGCACGACAGGCAATCTAGATCTATACCCATGTCAGCTCTAGATCCCATATTTGCAATTGTAACGACCAGCTTCACTTTGACCTTGTTTTGCCTTCTCGCCATGCCTTCTCTCGCGATTTCAAACGCGCGCACAAGACACCGATCTCAGCGAGAGAAGATGAGGAAGTCACGATCGAAAGCATCACATCTAGACCTAACCACCATCTAGGCCCTCCCTCGAAAGGGCAATTACTGAAAGGAGAAACCTTGGAAGCAAGAGAGAAGGAAAAAAGGTCCGAAGAAGGTTCCGCATCCAGACTGCCGAAGAAAGGTGGGCGACAAAAGAACAAGTCTCACCGAGACGAGTTGCGATAGGGCGGTGGCTGTCCAGGTGGTTACAGTAGCCATGCGCCACGTCTCTGCTGTGTACTTTTTCGTTCCTTTGTGACCAGGCATCTTCCGGTCGATCCACCCTGCACTGTGACGCCCCATCATCGGGCAGAAAACAACATGCAGCAGACAGCGGTCGGTAGAAGAGCCGAAACATATATGAAGTCGCACAAATCTCCACCTGCGCCCCTCTAAAGGGGCAACGAACGACTGCCCTTTGTAGACTAAAGGTACGACGTCACACATAGATTTGCGCTACGCCGGTGGATCTGGCCGGCGACCAAGCGGGCGGGTAAATGCACAGGGCTGCTATTCTCATCTCGAACAGATCAGGATAGCGATTCGCGATATTATAGTATTGAGCCGGGGGTGGAATCCTGCCATATCCACTTTCCACTCGTCGGCGATCTACTGTGGAAGAGTCACCACAGTTGGGCCGCGGAGTTGGGTCGATCCGGACGGGGGTGTCGAGTCAGCTGACATGGGCAAATCGCGATCTTGAACATGGGAGTTTGTGAGGATTCTCGATAATCCGTTCATACGAGGAGTTTAGGTCGCCGGCCTGCTGGATTGCGACAGGGGTGCGAAAGGGCGGGAACGTCATTGGACTGGGGTTTGCTGATTTGGAAATGATGCCTGACGGTTCGGCGAGGCTTCGTATAGTGGAGGCCGTGGTGTTCGCACCATATTCCCCAGAAGGCAACTCCAAGATGTGAGGCAGCAGGGTACAGAGCACAGAGGCATCGTGAGGTCATGCCCAGGTGTTGCGAATGCGAATCGGGCAGAATACATCATGACGATGATATTGGGCCGCTGTTGCAGTGCGCAGGCGCGATGGATGATGCAGAGCGGGTCTATTCAGGAAAGGGAAGGTGTCGTGTATTTACACAGCTGTTCTACCAAGGTCCCAAGAGAAGTGAGACGAGCGTTGGTGTTGATGTCTCATAAACGTTGCTGTCATACCTGTCTCTCGCACAAGGCTGCATTAGTCCCGAACGCGAGGTACACAGCCAAATGGGTGCCTGGTTCGCGGGAGGGGAGATCAGATCAGATTGCGTAACTGGACCCAGCGCCCAGGACAAAGGGCTTATTCGTTCGGTCGCGTTCCGGAGCGACGAGCGGCCGTGTATCTACAGCAACTGTCGGCCTCTCAGGTGGGACATGGTGGGCGCCAGCCACAGCGAAGACGTCCTGCGCGCTAGTCAATCTGGGCAGGGGCATCTCTGGCTAGCTGAGGATGTCGCGGACACCGAAGTCGTGGCGCCTGATTAGAAAATGGTGAACTCAACGTTGGATACCGATGAAAGTCGACATGGTCTATTGCCTGTCTATTGCCTTGGATGGAGGGCTGCGATACTTTGACGGACACGTCGCGTCGTGTGTTGGCGATGATGATGGGATAATGTGACCATGAGTAAGGTGACGCTTGGCAATGATCGCCAGGCAGCGTGTGAGTGCAGATTGGTGGAGGGCCCCGCCGCAGGGCGGCCCAGAAGTTTGTTCCTGCGTCGCATCCCGATCAGGCATCGCACCACGACTTCCATGCATCTTCTCAGGAACAGGCTTTCCGCATCACAGGTCACGATCTCGACATGGTTGCGAATCCATCGTTCGGCGCATGGGGCGCGCCGCGCTAGGCAGTTTGGTGCTTTTTGCAACAGCTGTCAAATACTCATCTCACCGCCCTTGGCGTCTCGAAACATGCAGTTAGCTCTGCGTCCGTGAGGTGAGGGGCATACGTCCTCCCAGGCCCGTTGTCCTACGATGACAGGCAGGCGGTGAGATTGGGCCAGAGGCTGTTGTTGTTTCGAAATGCTGAACGTGCCCAGCGGCCAGATGCCCACTGTGCTTTTGGTTACAGAGTCTCTCGCTTACCTACTCCAGATTGAGACGTTGCGCTATCTACGTCAGGTGAGCTGTCAACTCTAGCCTCTATGCCGGCGTGAGGGCTGCATGCTTGCGAGTATAGAAGATTGACAGCAGACTGCGACGAAGGAGCGGCTGAGGCGTCTGGTGTGCATCCCAAAGCGTGGCTGATCGGCGCACGCGATAGAATGCAGCAAGAGGGGTTGAGGCTTGAATTATGCCACGTCTACCGCTTGCGATAGGTCCACTATACGAAGGCGCCATGCCTCTAGAGATTGTGGAGTTTGTGCATGGCTGAACAGCCAGCCCCTTGGCTCAGTACACTAGGATCTGCCATGGGGCCCCTGCGCAGACGGCAACTAAAAGCAACGAACGCTGATCTGGTCTGAGCGTGAGAGGTGACGGAAACGGTAGAGCCGCAGCCATGTACCACGTTTTTGGGCGCGATCCCTGGGGTCAATCGGCGAGCGCGGCGCTATGGCGCATGCTGGGGTGGATGCCGTCCTGATTGCTGGCTAGGATACCAAGTGACGCTCGGTATATAACACTTGAGCGCCCTAGCCTTTTGGTTCAGTCAAACTCAAAGTCAACAGAGCAGCAACTACCAACCTTACATCAAGACCCTCGATCTCCAATACAATCAAAAGCATTCATCGGAACATTCTACCAACACCAGGCAACATGTATCAAAACCTTGGACGCACACCCAACTGGGACACTTGCTTCAACCAACTCCAACTCACTGAGGAGAACCTGCAATTACACACCGCTACACACAAGAAGGTATGTCTTGACTTGAGAACAGCTCATCGGTTCACTGCTAACAATGTTAAAGGTTGACAGCGCTTGTCAAATGGATGACCAACTCTACTACCGATACGATGGTGACTTCGCCGAGTCAGACGACGGCAACGTGGAAACCCAAAGAGAGACCATCGCTTTGAGGAGAGCCGCGTCACTGGAGGTGTTGAAGGCGTACGGTGGATGCTTCGCTTCCGGCTTCCTCGCTCTTCAAGAACCCCTCCCATCACGACCGAAATCGAAGCTCAGGTCATACGAGAGCGCGTACAGCGTCGACATGTCAAGAACCGCCTCAAACGCCACATCACTCGAGACAGCCTCAACTAGCTGGAGCAGCAACATCGACACGCCACGACCAGACTCATCAACTCTGGGCGTACCCGTGCAAGAAATGGAGAAGGGATCAAAGTGGAGCTGGAGAGGCATGAGGAGAAGCCGAAAGCAGGCAGCAAAGAAGCTCGAAGTTTAAAAAAGTCATCTATTCACGTCGACCAGCTGGTCTTGCATTTTCTTTGTCTGCTTGCGTGTTAGCGAAGGCGTTGGGGTTTACGGATACCATTCAAGATTGCGCAACCATCTCTTTTGTCACGATGCCAATGGCCGAACTACTCAAAATTCTACGAAAAAGCACGACTTTGTAGTGTATAATGTATATATCACAAAAAGACAGACTCGACGAGTCGTTTGACAACCCCCACACTCTCCTACCTTGCAACTTGTTTACTTGTGCAGTGCTTCTGGTAGGCATCCGAAGACCGGCCGGCGTGCAGACGGCCGAGCTTGGAGAGCCGGAAGTGAACATCAGACGGAAAAAGTCTCATGTTCGATGAGATTCGGAGACGGCCATCAGCAGATGCATGCAGCGCAGGTCGACGGACATCTAGATCTGCTGACCTGATGGGGTAATATTAGGCGACAGCCTCAGCTGGCTCTCGAGCTATGAGTAAGAGGGAGAGTAAGTTTGTTCGGAGGTCACGATGGAGTTGCGGGTGTAGTGCGGACTGCTGGCTCCCGTGGGGGAAGGCCTGCAGGCTGACGGACACGCAGCGCCTGACCCCGGCAACCGAGCCAGTCACAGCAGGCGCGTCGCTCGAGGAAGGTGCGTCCGGAGTTAGGCAGGAGAAAAACAAAGGCGGCGCACACAAGGCATTGAAGCTCAACAGATGAGAGTCGAAACACGCGGATTGTCGAACGAGGACATCGTGCCATGACGTACTGGTGGGGCACTATGATGAGGCGGCAAAGGTCGGCGCGCGCGTGCAAGTCGCGACGGTGATGAGGACGACGAAGTACCCCAGGGGTTCAGGGCAGGCACGGGGCCCTCTGGCAGTCTTCGCTCAGCATCATCATGCCGCCTGGCTGTCGCATTGATAGCAGTCACGCCGCCTGCGTCTGGCACGATGCAGCTGCTTCACCGCCTGGTCTGTCATTGCCTATCGTGATAGCAGACCCACCACTGACGCCTGCTGCTATGCCCTTCTGCTGCCATCGGCGGACCTGCCGGCCTTGCAGCGCTCAAAACTGCTACCTTCGCCCGTTGCATATCCATCTTTTCCCTCCAGTCCTACGCTGCACCCGCCACCTAGACTAGCACTACCAGCATATCGTCGTGTGACCGCCGCCCGCCGTTCCCTAGATTCTGAAGCATCTTGATACAAAGGTGCCGCCCCACCCCCACCCTCGCCGACAACCACCCTCGTAGCTAACGCTGACCAGTACCTACGCCATACATAGCACATCTTCACCACCACAACACCTACTACCACCACACTCCTTGACTGGTGTCGTCGCCCCACCGCCCCCGTAGCATGAGCTCGCAATCTTCCAAGCCCCGCCGAACCTCGACTGTTCTCGACCCGTACGCTGCACCGCACGTCTACTATGGCGAGAGTCACTCGAAGAAGCATGCCAGAGCCCGGACCTACTCAGCCGTGAGTACCGCGCTCCTGCCTTCCTCGACTGCTATGACGAGGCTAATTGAGTGCAGAACGTAGACAATTCCACGCGTAATGCTCCATTGGCCGAGGGCGCCATTGCCGGTCGTCGCATCAGTCACGGTACGTACCTTCCACCGCACCCACGCCGCGCCATTGGCTGACAAGACCAGATGAAATCTCCCTGCAGCCTCGCCGCTTCAAGATAAACGTCGAGGAGACGCTCCGCCAGCTTCTCGACCGCGAAGATTCCGACGGCAACTACCAGATCACAATCGACGACAAGGGTCCCAAGGTACGATGCTCTGCAGTTACACGAAACGCATGGCTGACAATACACAGACCATTTCTCTTGGTACGCTCGGCTCCAATGCCTTCAAGAAGCACGACGTCCGCGGCACCTACATGCTCTCGAACCTGCTCCAGGAGCTCACACTCGCCAAAGACTACGGCCGCAAGACCATCGTGCTCGACGAATCGCGATTGAACGAGAACCCCGTAAACCGCCTGAGCCGCCTCATCCAGTTCTCCTTCTGGGACGGCCTCACCCGCCGCATCGATGGCTCCAACATTGCAAAGGTCGGTGTCGACCCCAAGGACTGGACAGACGACCCGCGTCCGCGTATATACATTCCTCAGGGCGCGCCTGAGCAGTACGAGTACTACACCCGCATTGCTCGTGAACACCCCGAAATGCGTCTCGACGTCATCTGGCTCGACAAGGACTGCGACAACGACGATTACGTGCGCGACTTGAACAAGGCACCCGGCCTGCTCGCCATTGCCATGGAGGAATGGATAGATCCAGAGACGAAGAAGAAGGACCTGAGAGGCCTGCCTTTCGTCGTTCCTGGCGGCCGTTTCAACGAGCTTTACGGATGGGACAGCTACATGGAGTCGCTTGGTCTCCTCGTCAACGATCGCGTCGACCTGGTCAAGTCCATGGTCATTCACTTCTGCTTCTGCATCAAGCACTACAACAAGATTCTCAACGCGAACCGTACATACTACCTCTGCCGCTCCCAGCCACCGTTCCTCACCGACATGACTCTGCGATGCTATGAACGCATCAAGCACGAGCCTGACTCCAAAGAATTCCTGCGCAACGGTATCCTTGCTGCCATCAAGGAATACCACTCGGTTTGGATGAGCGCGCCGCGCTTAGACCCTGTCACTGGACTCACCAGGTACCGACCTGGCGGAAGAGGTGTGCCACCCGAGACGGAAGCCAGCCATTTCCACCACGTCTTGATGCCGTATGCCGACAAGCATGGTATGACATTTAAGGAATTCGTCGATGCATACAACAACGGAAAGGTCAACGAGCCCGAGCTTGATGATTATTTCCTACATGACCGCGCTGTGCGTGAATCCGGACACGACACCTCCTACCGTCTGGAGAGGGTCGCAGCAGACCTCGCCGTCGTTGACGTCAATGCGCTGCTCTACAAGTACGAAGTCGACATTGGTCGATGCATTCGCAACCATTTCAACGACAAGCTCGAAATTCCAGAGGGATTCCGCACTGGCGACATGAAGCCTGGTCATATTGAGACTTCTTCCACATGGGAGCGCCGCGCTAGAAAACGCCGCGTTAATGTGGACAAGTATCTCTGGGACGAGGAGGCAGGCATGTACTTCGACTATAACACTGTCAAGCAAGAACGCACCGGTTACGAGAGTGCCACTACTTTCTGGCCCATGTGGTCCGGTCTCGCCACTCCGCGTCAAGCTAGCATTCTTGTCGAGAAGGCTTTGCCTAAGCTGGAAGCCTTCGGAGGACTTGTTTCGGGTACAGAGAAGTCGCGCGGCAAAACCGGACTTGACCGCCCTAATCGTCAGTGGGATTATCCATTCGGTTGGGCGCCACAGCAGATGCTTGCCTGGGTCGGTATGCAGCGATACGGCTACGATGCGGAAGCCCAGCGTCTGGCCTACCGCTGGCTCTTCATGGTCACCAAGGCATTTGTTGACTTCAACGGCGTTGTCGTTGAGAAGTACGATGTCACAAGGAAAATTGATCCCCACAAGGTTGAGGCCGAGTACGGTAACCAAGGCAGCGACTTCAAGGGTGTTCCTCGCGAAGGGTATGTTTCTTCTCACATCCGTTTACTAGTTCATGGCTAACACGTCACAGCTTCGGATGGGTCAACGCAAGTTACATCTACGGTCTCACGCTCCTCAGCGCACACCAGCGTCGTGCTCTTGGTGCTTTGACCGATTGGGACAGCTACGCCAAAGCCATGGAGGACCTTGGCATGATGTAAACCGACTCCCGCTTACTTTGTTACGACTTCACGAGATGCATCTGCATTAGATGTTGGGTCTGCTTCGTTGTTCGTATTAGAGGCGCAGTGGAAAATGAACCTGGGTTGCGTTCATGAGGGTTGTCAGCGAGTCTGTATAAGGATGGGGTGGACATATCAGCACAGCACGTGTATTGTTTGCAGGAGGTGGAACCGACGGGACTTTCGGTACGGTACCAGGAGTCGATCTCGGCACGATGGCTTAAGCTATACCTATGATCAAATGAAACACATCATTAACTGTCCATTGTTTCGCTTGGCTTCACCGGTAAGGGTTCATTTCATTTCACGTCTGCATGAGGATTACAGTACTTAACAGGAAATGATTCGAGGTCCCCGAGCATTTCGTTCAGCCTTTCCATCTAGAGATTGTGTGGGTCTCCTTCGTATGGTTTCTGCGACTCAATCGATGCCTTGTTCCGCGCCTCGCTCTTCTTCTGCTCCTCAAGCTTGGCCTCGTCCTTCTTCTTGAAATCCTCTACCAAAGTCTCAAGCTCGGCAATCCTCTTCTTATCCTCTTCACTCCTATCACCAAGCGGCACGTGATGATCAGAGTACGCGTTCCAGAGGATGTCGTATTTCTTCTTGAGTTGATCGAAACTCCAAGAGAGGTCTCGTTCGATGGGCGGAGGGGTGGACATTTTCTGCTGCTGAGGAATCGGTAGATGGTAATCGATGAGACGGGGATGTGAGAGCAGACTGTGTTCTTTATGCGCTTTCGCTAATATTTGTGCTATCATGGCAAGCGAAGTACGTCGTGAATTACACGCGTGACATGGCAAACCGTGAACAATCAATTCGGTTGTGATGAGATTATCAGATTAGACTACCCTACACGTCACCCGTCACAGTGTAGGATTGCCGATCCTCTCATTCCTCAATCTGCTTCAGAGCCTCTTTCTGATCTTACTGAGGCGGACCATTACACAACGGCGGCGAAGCACTAGGTTCCTTAGGCGGAACCTCCCTCTTTCCCTCCACCCTCTCCGCCTTGACGAAAACTGGTATAACACCGCCCGTCTCAAGCGCAAACGCCCTATGCCCAAGCACCTCCAGCATACTGCCAATCGCTCCCGAATGACTGGTGAAACTCAACCACACATTGTCGTCGGTGGCGAAAACATCATCCAGAAACGTGGCTAGGCGGTACCGTCTTGCAGACCTCGGTTCACGGTATCCAGCTTCCCAGAGTAGATCTTCGTTTGAGAACCCGGGTTCAAAAGTGAGAGGTGGATCCGTGAAGGTGGCTTTGATGTGCGAGGCTGTACTGCGACGGTCACATGTGTGTACGCCGAGGGCTTCGCGGACGAGCTCTTTGATGAAGGGTTTGTAAGGGCGTGACTCGGGAAGAGGAAGAGACTTGAAACTCAGGTTTGCTGTTTCGATTGTGCGGGTCAAGGGCGAGACGTAGTAGGTTTGTGGGGGTGGGATGCCGAGAGGCAGTTGTTCGGCCCATAGCTTGTTCACAGCGAGAGCTTGGTCTTGGCCTACAGTGGTGAGGTTTGCGTCCGCCCAGGTTATGCCGTCGTAGCCGTCGAGGGCGGCGTAGTAGCACTTGGTGTTTATGTTAGCATTATGTCTCCTTGATAACACATGTACGAAGAGACATGATTCCCGAAGAGAGTAAGTGCTGGAAACTTACATCCCAAGCTTTTGTCCCATACTTTGTCTCTGCAACGTTATGCCAACCCTGACCATGACGGCCCAGAAAGAGTACTTTGTAACTCTCACCCTCTTTCTTCGTGGCTTCCAGACTAGCCACGTATTTCTCGAGACGATTCCATTGCTTTTCTTCGCTTTTATCTTCTCCTGGGTAGGAACGGTCGATCAGACCAAAGTTTTGTTTCTTCTATCGCGATAGTTAGCAAGCTACCTCAGATCCCAAATTGAGGGGACGCGAATGAAGGGATAGAATGACTCAATCCCGCAAGTACGTAGTTGCGTGTGAAGCTTGGAGAATAAGGAATTGAACATACGAAGTCGAAACTCTTGTCATCAGTCTCATCTTCGCTCTGCATGAAAACGCCCTTTTGCACCGTGTACTTGAAGTGGTAGTCCAACGCCGGCTCTGCCAGGACAGGGACCGTGGAAGTGTGATCTGTAGTACTCATACTGAAGTAAAACAAGAAGATGAGGAGGATAGAGAGAAAGACGATTGGTCTGGGAGAGGTTAGCGCAGGCACTCCCGTCGGAAAGTGCGCAGGTGAAGTTGGAAGGCGCAGTAGGGCTAGAATGGACAGGCTGTTTACATGGGGATACCGACACCACAAATTCTTGTTTTGTGCGAGTATGAGGGTATGAGCATAATATGGAAGGGCTTCACGGGATCATGTTGATGCTGTGCTGTGAAGGTAGGCGGCGGGCTGTCGATTGTAACGGTGAGTCGCTAGCTAGCACGAGCCAATCACATCTTTGGGCCGCATCACGATACATATGTCGGTGCACTCAAATCTGTCTAGCATCGGGGTCTAAGGGGTGGAGATTCGCTCGCCGCATACGAGGATACAACTGAGAGATCTAGTGCGATGCTGCGCATCATGTAGCTTCGATGACGTCAATTGCATGTTTGGAGGCAACATATTGCTTGCGCGTAGATCGTAGTTTTATCTAGTTTCTACAGCTGCTCAATGAGACTGAGCTACAAAGCCCGCGCAGTACAGGCTAGGCCGTAGCTATCGTACGCTGTCCACCATTGTGGTATTCTACCGTGATGTCCATCAAACGCCCATCCCAAGCCCGCTAATTCAGAAGAGACTTATCGCAGCCGAAGCTGCCTTTTAGAAGCGGAATGCATCGCAAAATCGCAACCTGAGCGTGTACTTGCGCCCGGTCTGCGACCTTAGCAATGACCCGCTCATTTCTTCTTCGGGAACTTGGGCTGCCCCATCTTGTCACCCCGTAGGATGACGTTGAGCACGCGCTCCATGTTTCCTAGCAGCTTCTGGTCTGGTGTTGCTGTGCCGCGCTCAAAGTCTGCGATGATGGTGGGTGTGCTGTTGCACTTTGTAGCCAGATCCTTTTGCGTCATAGTTGTGCCCTTGTCGTTCTTTGCCTCGGAGCGCGCCTTAGCGATGGCTTGGCCGACGGCGATACCAACGGTCTTGGGCTTGACGATGTCATCGGAACGGTCGACTTTGGTGAGGCGCTGGCCTTCTGACGAAGCTCCCTGTGGCTGGTCGGTCAGTATTGTTTTGAGTGAACTTAAGGCAATCACGAAGAACCAAGTTTTAGAACCAAGTTGGACGTGTAAGGAGTACTCACGGCGTTGGCAGATGCGAACTTCTTTTCTGTGGCGACGATACCGCCGCTACGTTGGGCAGCGTTCAGAGCTGACTTGCCCTTGACTACGGTTTCGCGGGGTCCGGCAGCGCCACCACGAGTGCGGCTACCGATCTTGGTAACGGAGTTCCAGTCGTCAGACATCTTGAATGTGGTGTTGAAGAGTAGAGGCTGAGGTTGTGGTTGTCGGGTGCGGAAGGCTGAGTTGGGCGCAGATGTGGGGTGTCCTCTTGAAATGGGTGATTGTTCGTCGATGGATTTGTCAGTCGGCGAACGTGGAAGAGAGAAAATGTAATGTGGATGTGAAGGGCTTTGTAGTAGAGAGGATCGAGCTTTTGCTTATGTAGAGGCCCAAAGAGCAATGTGTGACCGCGATGAGTCGGAGCGGCAGGTGAGGTCACCGCCACGCGCTAAACTCGCTTAGGACAGGGTCTCTCGAAGCTTCCACGATCGCTTCAGCCCTTCAATGTTCTTCCGCCCTTCTTTCACCGAACAATCACGACATTCAATGTTCGTTTGCAATCGCTAATACGAGCGCACTCATTGTGTGTCACAACTCATCGTTGCTAGCTACCAGTCATTGAAGTCAGCCGCTGTGTTTGGATTATAGGTCGTTGACAAATATTTTTCTTTCGCGTCTCACATTGCGCTCGACGGAGTGAGCAGCATCGACGCGTCTTTATCCCTTGGTACTCTGTGTACCTACAACCTCTTCAGTATACGTCGTCCTTCCTTCTCGATGATGGACTCGTTTGTCAAAAGCAGGAAGATCAGCTACCAACCCGCTCCAAGCCCTTTGCTTGTACTTTTGACCGAATGCTTGGGTGTCTGCTCCTTATGGGCAGGCGCTGGTGCTCGGGGCGGGACATATATAAATTACAATGGAAATGTGCATCAGGATATTGCTTGAAGTTTTCATTGATGAGGTACATGTGCTCAGACGCTTAGATGAAGTGTCTATGTGTGCCCTGATCGCTCATGAACTTTTGACAAACGCTCGTCTAATCTTGACAACCACCCAACCCGACCGCCGGAACGCCATTGCATGCATGCAGCCATATCGAACCATATCAACCATTCTTCGTGAGGTCATACTATTACAAGTTCGACTGCGACTGCGCGACCTCCCGCTCAACCTCGTACATGAAGTCAAAGTATGGCTTGTCGAAGTGGTGCACACGCACGTAACCGTCCTCTCCTCCACTGCAGTAGCTGGTTCCTTGTGGGTGTACGGCGACGTAGTTGAGGGGACCGAAGTGACCACGCACACGACCAATCTCCTCCATGAAAATCTTGTGGTAGAAACGGGCCTCGAACTTTCCTTGACGCGCCGAGGTTGTGGTGACATCCATGGCTGCTTGTCCTCCACCAAGAATAACGTAGTCTTTTACGGGTGTGATTGCAGCGGAGTTGAGGGGTGTGTCGGCAACGTATGATTTGAGGACGTTAAGCTCTTCGACGTCGACGAGCTTCGCGGTCTTGTCCTTGCTGGCGGTTATGAAGTAGGTTCGGTCGGGAGCCCATTGGATGTCGGCTGCGCACTGTTAGCTTTCATTCCAGCCAAAGAGGTGTGCATGACACTCACTGATTTGCATGTCTGGCTCATGAACGTCGTAGTTGGAGCTGAGCAGTTCTCCAGTCTTGCCATCCCACTGAGTTATCGAGCCGTCTTCGTGTCCGCTGATGATGTATTTTGCGAGGTATGAGAAGCCAGCGACTGTCGCCTTGGACTCGTCGCATACGATCCTGAGCAGCTGCTCGTCCGACTGTTGCGCCTCCGGGTCGGGGTTGATGGGGTAGACGCAGATGGTGGAGAGATGTCCTGATCGCTTCTCGGTGACACCAAGTAGCTGTCTGCCGTCTGGGGAGAACTCGCAGCGCTTGATACTGGTGTTGAATTCCCAGGTGTGGAGAAGCTTGCCTGTCTGCACATGCCATAACCTCATGGTGTTGTCTGCTCCACCAGTAGCCAGTAGCTCAGAGGATGGGTTTACGTCGACCGTCCATAGCGCTCCCTGATGTCCGTGGTATGTTCCGATTCGCTCGCCGTTGTGTGAGTCTGCACCGCATCAGCTTCTATTCGCATTCCTCTTGTACAGGTTGTTCACTAACACCAGGCGCAAACGACGTGGTCCTACAAAAATTAGTTTCCGCGCGTCAGAAAACCGGGAGGAAAACGTACCTTGGATACGGAGAAAATGATATCTCCATCTGCGTTGTACTGTATGCCATTAGTTTCCTCGTCCCTCATCCTACGCACGGCGCATGCGAACCTTGACTTGCGTGAGCGCACGCTCGTGACCGGAGAGAAGAATGGGCCTCATGGTTGTGATGGGTGTGTGGAGGCGGGGTGGTGTGTCGGCTTATATGTGGCGGGCGGCGTCTCGAAATTTGGGTGACTCTTGTGCATATCGACGTTCAGCGGGCGAAGTGGGCTGCTTGGCGCTAGCCGACTAGCGGCTTTGTCCCGCAACCATAGATGAACGCCGTGCTGAACATCATCTCTCCGCATTGACTCAGCTGTTCATTGAAAGCCTAGTGACTATACATACTGGTTCGAGCCACTTTTCGGGACTGTATCCGGCCTAACGGTGCGTACTGAGATGAGTCACATCTCTCCTTACGAGTAATCATGTATCAACAAGGCGCAGGCTGTAATGCGTATCAGGAAGCAGCCTGTGAGTCACAGATCATTCGTTCCGCAAGCTATCAGCATGCTTTCGTTACTCAGTGATTGAGCTGGCAAGCTGGTAAATCTGAAACAGGTACCTTTTATCATCTCTTATACCATATGCAAGATGAGGATGGGCGCGTTCTCCCGCGGCTGCAATTTTGTCGAGCTTTCATGTGCTCAAACACAGCATTAATTCTGTTGGACAAAGCACCTTGGGTTGGCACCGAGTATCTAGACCGTGGCCAGTCGAAAGCCTCGGAGGTGTTTACATATCACAGATCACTATCTTACCGCATGATACCAGTCACTGATTAACAGTCGCACCCCATTTCAAAGAGAAAGTGAACACCGTGAGGCTTATATCAACGCTGTCTTCTCTCACTCGCCTTTCGTGGGCCTTAATGTAGGCTGCACGCTGCAGAGCTTTTCAGCACTTTCTTCGCATGAAGTGGCCGGTTCAGCCGCATGTGTGTAGTCCAGTTTCTCTCCTTCGTCTACTTACGCTCTCTCACACTCTTAACTATCACTTTTCACTTTCACCGAATATGACAGTATCGCGCTTTCCGTTTGTTGCGAGCGCAGTCTTGGCGCAAACGCGCTGCTCCTTCCACCTCGCGGCTGGCAAGCCCACAATGCTCCAGCGCGACTTCCCAAATACGCCAAATTCGAATCGCGGATCTCGCGACCTCCTCATACAGGAAGGGCAACTGAACAGGTTTGCAGACTACATCAGCATGAAAACAAGCGAAGCAGCTGCCTAACCTCGATGTAGGCTCCACATTGTTTAGTTCCCCACCTCCAATATGGCTTCTGCAGCGCTTCCTCCCTCTATCATTACAGCTACGCTAGGAAGACTCAGGCCTTTACCACCGGACAAGTACATCATAACCTTGGGCCAAGGATGCGATCAGTTTATCGGTACTCCCAACGGTTACAGCGCTACGTATCTGCCACCCAGGCTGTTCCAAGCTGTCGGCGCAGGTCGGGGTCTTGTCAAGAAGATCACATGGGCCTCCTATGGCAGCAGACCCGAGTCTTGGTTCTTCGTCTGGGAGCCTGAAGACGGCACAACGCACTTCATGGTCGGACCTGATGTCCCATCGGCGCTGAAGTCTTTCATCCAGACCATCCAGGATTCCGAATACCTTCGGTCTGGTCTCCGCGTACAGCTCGGCGCCGCCGACTCGTTCGTAGCATGGTCGGGTACGGTGTGGGCATGTGCGAATATCCCAATTCAGCTACAAGCCAAGCTACGAGAGGGAAGTTCCGCAACCCGTGAGGGTAACGGAATTATCAACGGCGAACTGAGGGTAGCCCGTACGCTAGATAACGTCCAATGGAATGCCAACGGGTCATACTATATCAAGAGCGGGGACCGTCATCTCTGGAACTTCGAGGCCAAGCTCATGAGCATTGAATGGAACAAGCTTTGGAAAGGTCTGGAAGGAGATGAGCGGATGCGCAAGATCAACGAAGAGCTCGCTGTGAGTACGCAAATGTGCTATTTTACATCGCGACTAACATGTCCCAGTACGTCTTCATCAGCCCGCATGCGGAAAACGGCGAGACCTTCGTGTTCATCAAGAAACACTCGGTAGGACTGGACGCGCCGTTCGTTGTTGGCTTCGAGAGAGAAGCTATCCACACCAATCTGGAGCATACTAGCAACACTTCTACACCGAGCAGTTCCCGTCCCAGCACGGTCAAGGACAACGAGTCCGATGGAAACGAGCTTCCTGCGCCCGCGTTCGAACAGCGTATGCAGCACATACCGGGAAAGCCAGAGGAGCCTGTACCCTTCCAGTGGGCAACTGTCAAGAAGTCTGGGCGACCGCACAGAGCAGACAATTGGGAGGCAGAGCTCAGGAAAGGCGAAAAAGTCAAGGTCATCCGCGACGAGGGTCGTGACTGGTTCATAGTCATCAACCGAAAGGGTTTCAAGGGTTATGTGCACGGCTCCTGGATCGAATTTGGCGACCTCACAGTGCACAAAGACCCCAAGGCAGTATACGTACAGTTTCAGCAAGACCTACAGACGCTCCTCACACCCGGTCAGCTACAGCAATTCCCAGCGATGTCAAGCTACGTCGACGAGTGCACTAGGCCGGAATGTCAACCACTTAAGGAATCGGTCTCGGTCTCTTCATTGGGCATCTGCTCTCACGATCTGTCGGCACTGCTGCAAGGTTCCGGTAAATACTCGTACGAGTGGCTTAAAGAGACACGGAATCTCTGGCACCCGGACAGGTTTGCCCGCTTCTGCCATGCAGATCAAGCGGAGGATCTCAAGCTCAAAGCAGAGAAAATGTTTGTCATGTATGGGATTCTGATGGATGCGACCAAGGCCTAGAGACTACATGGAGACACGCAAAGTGGGTAACCTAACGTCGATGTAGGCTCGAGAGTGGTCAGTTTTTCCCTGGGTTGATGTAGCTTTGTGAAATATTGCGGACCCGCAGAGTACAGTACA